TTTGGTGAAAATGATGGTCTATTTTAATTCGTATCTAAACTTTAAATTCCGTTAATAATTTTTGGTAGAATATTAGGTGTAATTGACAGTTTACTTGGTGTATATGATTTGGTGTAATTGATAGTGTATATTATATTTTTAATAAACATCATAAATTGTGAATTTTAGGTTGTATATAAACACCAACTTTCGTGATATTTTTTTGGTACATATATGGGTGTAGTTGATAGTGTCTTTTGGGATGTTTATAGACAATAATTTGAATAATTATTAAGTTAGTTAAAATACTTATTGTTTTGTGTTGGTATACTTCATACCCAAACAATAAAAAAATCAGAAAGCTAACTTCGTTCGTAAAACCATTTTGTATACCAACATGATTACAATTTTTAAATAGATAAAAGCATTCTATATATCAATCTGTCTAATTTGATTACTGTGAAAATACCATTCTTATTATGTATGTATTGCTTAATTTATTATATATTTTAATTTGTATTATGTTATAGATGTAATACTTATCTAATAATTTCACTAATTACTTTTTAATTTAACAGGCAAGTACGTGGATTACAATATTGAATGAGTGATATATGACGCGAACACCAAATAATGATTGTAAGAAGGGACTCAACAAAGGAAAACGCAAGAGAAGGAAAGTCACTTTTAGTACATTTGGTACACCGGACATAACAAGAAGACTTGCCTCAAATTTGTGCATTAGGCTTAATAGTAGTGTTTTTTTTTACTTAAAACATTATGTAGTTGAAACTTTTAGGTTTATGTTGGTACGATGAATCATGTTATTGGTGTATTGAATGATATCACATTCTTGTTTGCATGTTTTTAATATTAATTTGTCTTTTTATGCACAAATTTATATACATAAATGGTTATGAAATAATTGTAAATTTTAATCAATGAAAATTGTGATTTTTATAATATTATATAAGACTTAACATCAAAGTTGTACGAAATCTATATAATATGCAAGTTTTTAATTTCTTTATTAAACTTTCTGGATTCAAATGGTTATTTAAGTCATACCATAACAAATTAATATATTTTGTCAAAAAAATAATGTAGATAACTTTCAAAATTTCAGTTTTTTTTTTTTTTTTAATAATTTGGTCATAATAAAGGAAAACGATATTTGTATGAAAAACAATATTAAAGAGGTGAGAGAAGGCTACAGTTAATAATTTGATTTGATTGAATAAAAAATTAAGAGAGAGAAAAATCAATATATGAGCAAAATAATAATAATATAAAAGAGTATAATTATGAATGGAAAGCCAAAAAGTAAACAATAATTATCAATCTCATAAATTTAGCACATAACCCCCCACCAAAAAAAAGGAAATAAACCGAATAGTAATATATTTTTTTAAAAATCGAAAATTCAATATATAGGCAAAAAAAATAATATAAAAGAGTTTAATTATGGTTGGAAACTAAAAAGTAAACAATAATTATCAATCCCGTAAATTTAGAACATAATCCCCCCAAAAAAAGAAATAAATCAAAAAATAAAATATATAAATTGATAAAACGAAAATTAAATATTTTGTCATGTTTGTAATTAAAAACCTAACTTTGTAAATAAAAAGAAGTATATACATATATTGTTAATTAAGTTCTTAAATAGTATATTCTTGTAATTTTTCCTATTATTCTAGTAATTTTTTTCTCTCTACTTTATTTCATGAGATTAAAGTCAACAAAAGAATTAGAACCCTAATTTGTATCTGTGAACAAAATTTAAAAAGTAAAAAAGACTTTTGAATATTGTGATTTTAAACTAAATAATTCTTCCACAAGATATAAACATTTTTTTCATGTCGAATATGAATCTCTTTTATAAATATAGGATGATGGATTTTTTGTTGCAAAATATAAATTTATGAGTCAAGTTTTATACTTAAAAATATGAATTTTTACTTCTTCTTTTTTTCAAGAATTTATATTTGAAATTTTATGCAGTTTCATAAACAATAATGATTTCAAATAAAAAATTCTCGCCCCAATTATTTTTTTTTTTAGAAAAGCATTTTAACAGTTATTACTTGCTTATTTTAAGGAGCGAGAAATTGTCAAAAACTTGTTGATAGAGATAAGAGAATACTAGTCGTCTTTTTTATCATTGTACTTGTACGCATGTGCACCAATAAAAAGGGGTGAAACGTACTCCACAAATTAAATATCAATCACCAGCAAATGAATCAATTATGAGAACATCGGGGTTGGCCATTGTACGGTTAATATAGTATATAACATATCAAAATTGAAAAAGAAGCAGAAAGCTTCCTCCAGGACCCTTTCCATTACCCATAATCGGAAATCTTCACTTACTGGGCAGTCAACCCCACAAATCACTTGCCAAACTCGCCGATTTTCATGGCCCAATGATGCGTCTGAAGTTGGGACAAATAACAACTCTAGTCATTATTGAGAAAATAATTAAATAATAAAAGTGTGTTCTTTCTAACAACATAAGATTTTAGATGAGATGGTCACACACAGAGCAGCAGACAGAGCCGTCATCCAAATAATAATAAAAGAATTTTCATGTGTTTGACCCATTAAAAACAAAATAAAAGTGTGCTCTCTCTAACAGCCGAATAGTCACACACTTCAACAATCAAAGAGAGGTACGTTAATTAAATTTAAACCGTTAAGAAATTATATTTTATTTAATTAATAATATGCCCTCTTAGGTTTGTGCTTAGAATAAATTGTTTTAGTGAGACTCAATCGACCTAGATTAAACTGTTAGAGAATCCACACTTTTAATTATTTACTGAATCATTTTTGCAATTTTAAGGTATAGGAAGATGGAAGAACTTGTTGTTTACTGTAAAAGGAGTAGCCAAATGGGGGAGGCGGTAGATATTTGTGCAGCAATTTTCAAGACCATGTTGAATTTAATTTCCAACACCTCTTTCTCAAGAGACTTGGCAGATCCGTATGAAAATTAAATTTGGCTCGATTTACGGTTTGGTTGGATTTTGTATACTCGAGAAGAAGGTATTTGCAATAGATAAAGAAATGTATCAGTTAGACCCCACAGTCAATTGGCTGGGACTCATCTCTATGGGAAGAACCTTCGGTGTTTTAACCCTTATAGATTTAAGGATTCAAAATTGAATGTACAAGGTCAAAATTTTGAGTTAATTTTATTTGGTGTTGGTCGGAGAATTTGTCCTGGTCTGCCATTGGCATTAAGGTCATTAGGATGATCGCAATAATGCTTGGCACACTGTTAAATACATTTAATTGGAAAATTGAGGGTGACATTGCACCAAAAGACGTGGACATGGACATGCAGGAGAAATTTGGCCTCACCTTGGCCAAACTTCGTCCTCTCCGAGCTGTCCCAAGCCAATAGTTTTATATATAGTTCATATATATATAAAATGCTATTCTATTATGATATAATAGAGATATTTTTTTAAAAGTCAAAGTTTTTATTAGGAGCAAACTACATAAATTTCACTAATTTAGGTCCTAATTATTAAGATTCACAATAATTTGAATTATTACTTCTCATATCATATCTCGTTCTTTGGATACATGTAACTTAACTCGATAGATACATGTATTCTACGAATTTAATAAGTAAGATACATGTTTTATTCGTTTGAATTAAATGATTGTACCTGATTTCCTTAATTAAAGGAATAAGTGACTATTCTAAAGAATTTTCAGCAATCCAGCATATCAACTATATCAAAATTTTCAAATATATCGCTTTCATAAAATCCGAATAATTGTAAACTTTATCTTCTTTCCAGTAAATCATTTTTATTTTTTCCTTAATTACATATATTTATATGTCAATCTTCTAATATATATAATTATTTATATAATATATATAATTAAAAGAAGAAAATCATTTTTATTTCTTTCCTTAATTACATATATTTATATGTCTATCTTCTAATATATATAATTATTTATTTAAGGTGTATCTTACGTACAATAATAGTGATGCATGTATCTGAGGGTCCTTTTTTTAGAATGATTTCTACAAATACATTTTGTATCTATTATACATGATCATGTATCTAATTTATATCCTTTAGATATATTTATATATAAAAACTATATAACGACAATATCTACCAAGTTAATAAATCTTCGTTAGATACAAATATACGTATATACCTAATAGACATATGTAGACTTACTTAATATACAATAAAAACAAAAAGATACATTAATTTTTTTAAATACACCAGATACATCTAATAAAACAAGATTCAAAACTTTTGAGATTGAGATACATAAAGTTTCAGATACATATTGAAGAAATCATGTTTAATCCTTCTTCCCATTATCTCTGTCGTCATTTATGACGAAAATGATTAGTTAATAGAGATACAACACACCATCATGAATTTATCAAAAATAGACTTGAAAATTCATAGAATCCACGGGTTCAATGATAAAGAGTTAAGAAGATAATTAATCAAACTTAATTTTAAGTGATGTGAAATCTGATTGTATCTTAAATAATATATGGTGTAAAATATTAAATGTGGTAATATATGCATATGTTTAAAAATAGTGATAATATTAGTATATATGATAGTAATGTATGTCTAACAGGTAGTTTAACCTTTTATTATATGATTATGTGAATCCAAATCAAACATACTAGCTATGATTATTGATTTACAAAATATTGAAAACAAACTTTAAAATATTGAATCATATCAAATAAATTTTAAACGATGATAATAGTAATATTTTTAAGAACTAAAAGTCTAAATTACTCAAATTGTCGAGACAATACCATGCCCATTATATTGCTGCCAAACTTAGCCGTTTAATAGTTTGCGTGTTACACATATTTGACCGATTTGGTCAAAAATGTTACAGCATTAATTTTATTATGTAAAACATGTTCTGAAATTTCGAAATTTTATTGGATATACCACTATAAATATATGTCTAGAGCTCATGTTCTTGATCATATGCCAGTGATAATTTTTTAATGTCAATTACCATGGACTATTATACCACTCCTCTAGTTCTCTTGCTTGCCTGGACTTTGTTCCAAGGCTTTAATTTGTTAGTAGCATTAACAAGAAATAGAAGCAGAAAGTTTCCTCCAGGACCCTTTCCATTACCCATAATCGGAAATCTTCACCTACTAGGCAATCAACCCCATAGATCCCTTGCCAAACTCGCTGATTTTCATGGTCCAATTATGCATCTGAAGTTGGGCCAAATAACAACTGTGGTGATTTCTTCTTCAAACATGGCTAAACAAGTGCTCCAAAAGCAAGACTTAGCCTTCTCTAGCAGATCAATTCCTGATACGGTCCAAATGGACAACTTTCACATGTTCTCCGTTTCTTGGCTTCCCGCTTCCCAACCTCAATGGAGAAATCTCAGAAAAATAATGAATTCACACATCTTCTCCGTTAACAAGCTTGATTCTAGCCAAGACCTTAGGTATATATGTTATCTAAAAGTTTAAACAAAAATTGATTAATTATGTTTTCCAACACCCAAAATTTATGATGATGAATAACGGTGAGACTCAACCATGCATCCTATTTTTCTATGTTATCACCAACCTCATCAAAATTCGAAAATAAAATTTTAGGTACTGAATCGTGTTTTTTTTTGTAAGGTACAAGAAGATGGAAGAACTTGTTGTTTACTGTGAAAGGAGTAGCCAAATGGGGGAGGCGGTAGATATTGGTGGTGCAATTTTTAGGACCATGTTGAATTTACTTTCCAACACTCTATTCTCAAAGGACTTGGCAGATCCGTATGAAAATTCGGGTAAAGAATTTAAGGATCTGGTGGAGGGACTAATGATAGACATGGGTAAACCAAACTGGGTGGATTACTTTCCAGTGCTAAAATTAGTAGATCCACAAGGACTAAGGCGATATAATTCTCACTTCGGTAAGCTACTCAAGTTTTTTAATGGATTGATAAATGAGAGGATGGAGCTAAGGAAGTTGAATGGACAAAAGAGTAGTGATGTTTTAGATACCTTACTCACAGCCACTGAAGATAATCACCAAGATATTGATCGCAAGCATATAGCTACAATACTTTTGGTGAGCTATCTTTAATTAATATCACTTACCTTTATAGTGTTGATTGTTGTTTATTCTTCCACATAGTTTGTGGATGGGTGTTTCGTGTCCTTATATATTTTTGGACAATATTATGAACATGAGCTATATCATAATTTGAATTGAGAACGATAGACCAGATCAGGTTCATTTTTTTATCATTATATCAACGTCAGGTTCATTTCTGTCCCCATGTTTAAAGCATTTATTGAACATGCATATAGTATTTTTCAAATTATGAATTCAAAATTAAAAATCATTTCACTAGATTTTAGTTTGATTTCCAGTAGTGGTTCTTGTTTTTAAAAAACGAATTGAAGTCGATTTCTAGTACTTGTTCAGTGTGCTCCTCTCTTTGAATTATCATCTAATACTAGTATATTTTTTCCAATTATATATCTATGTTTTGTGTTATAAATATTTAATCCAGTTGAACATACATCAAATATAACATGGATCGGTGCATCATTCCTAAGTGGTTTCAGTGAGTAATTTTCAGCTCAAAGTTGTCGGTGTATCTCAGGACTTATTTAATGCCGGAACTGATACAAGTTCGAACGTAGTGGAATGGGCTATGACTGAGCTTCTTAGATCTCCAGAGATTATGAAGAAAGTCCAAGCCGAGTTGGTACAAGTCCTCGGAGAAGGTAACCCGATGGAGGAAGCTGACATTGCCCGACTCCCTTACTTGCAGTGCATTATTAAAGAAAGTTACAGGATGCACCCTCCAGCTCCTCTTTTGGTTCCTCGAAAAGTTGACGAAGATGTTGAGGTGTGTGGCTACACTGTCCCTAAAGGTTCAAAAGTGTTGATTAATGTGTGGGCAATTGGCCGGGACTCGACTCTATGGGAAGACCCTTTGGTGTTTAATCCTGATAGATTTAAGGATTCAAAATTGGATGTGCGAGGTCAAGATTTTGAGTTAATTCCATTTGGTGCTGGTCGAAGAATTTGTCCTGGTCTGCCATTGGCAATAAGGATGATCCCAATAATGCTTGGCACACTGTTAAATACATTTAATTGGAAAATTGAAGGTGACATTGCACCAAAAGACTTGGACATGCAGGAGAAATTTGGCCTCACCTTGGCCAAATCTCGTCCTCTCCGAGCTGTCCCCCTTCCCCTTTAAAATCCAAAATTAGTTGGATTCCTATCAAAGGCAATGGACTATGAACATTGTAACTAATATTTCAAGTCCAAAAAATGAAAAAATAAATAATAATTTAATATAAGTGCAAATTTATGTAATTTTGTATTGAAAAATATTAAAGTTTCGTCAGTAAATGCAAGGGAATTTGAAGACTTTAAGTTCGTTCATGCGCGCACAACGGCATTTGAGATGTAATTCATCTCCTTTAATAATTACCTCATGTTTAGTAATTTAGTTTTACGTACGTCTCTTTATGCCTTGATCCATTAATTTGCCTCTGTATAATTATATTTAGGTCTTCAGAATTATATGAAAAAAGTAACCATACACGATGTCTCATATCCATGTATTCGTATATTCTTTTTCTCTTATATTACTACTTGAGTATAAGTTTTAAATATATATATTTAATGGCTATAATACTTTTACACCATCAGGTTTAATAGTATGTAATTATATATAATATTTTTTTCATTTGTCTGTTCGTTTGACGGTAAACAAAATTTAAAAGTAAAGAAGATTTGTGATTTTTTAAATTTTAAATTAAATAATTTGTTAAATAAACTAACACTAAATTTTCGTGTACATTATGTGGATCTACATATTGCTGTGACATTTTTAAATTACTTTTTTTTCCTTTCTGTGAATATATGGGAACTTGAGGGGCAAACTCTGCGAGGCCGAACCCACAAGGAGCCGGGGCGGACCTAGAGGTTGCCGAGGGGTTCATTCGAACCCATTTGATAAAAAATTACATTGTATATTTAATATATTTTAAAGATTTTATGTCTCTATATTGATATTGAACCTCCTAAATGTAAGATTAGAGATTGAATTAATGGTTGAGGGGTTCCAAACTCACCTTGAGGTTCCAATATCAAATCTTAGGCACTATTTTTTTTTTTTTTCAAACCCCCTTAATGGAATAAGAACTCTTATTCATTATATAAAAATGTTAATACTAATATAAAAATATGTTATTATATTTAAAACAGATTAAAAAAAAAGTAAGTCATATAAATTGTAATAGAGGGAGTACATTAACTTTCAATAGTTACGTATTACTATTACATATTTTGGGGAGAGATAGAGTAAGGGGTCGTTTGGTATGCTGGGATAAGTTATGATGAGAAAAGTTATATTGAGATAAGATAATGAAATTATTTTTTATTAGTTGTTTAGTTTGTCAAATATGCATGACATATTTCTAAGAATATTTGTTTGTTTACAAAAATAACCTTTAGAATAAGTTGTTTGTTTATAAAAGAGAGTTTAAGGGGTATTTATTTTATATTTTTATTTGGAATACGTTATTTCGGAGTTAGTATTCCAACCACAAGTAGAGATAATTTATTCAGTCATAATTATTAATCCTGATATAATTAGTTACCCCACATTTTATAACCAAACAAAGAATTGAGGGATACTAAAATCTAATCCCAAAATTATTTGTTCTTAACCATCACATTAAATGGCAAAAAAGCGTCCATCATCATACTTTTTCCCATGTGAACCAATAATGCATTCTGCTGCAGCAAGGAAAACGTGGTGAAACGTACTCCGCAAATGAATCAATTCTGAAAACATGAGGGGTCATGGCATGGTCAATATGGTGGAACATCTGAAAATTGATATTTTTGAAATTGTTATTTTGATTTGGTGATTTTTTTATATATGACACGATATTTGATGTTTATAATATATAATGAAATATTGAATACTATATCGAAATAAATAGTTACATTATAAGTCATATATTAGCAAATATATAAAATAGTATTAATAGAAAATTAATTATTTAGATGTTTGAATTTTGATTGAGATGTTTTTGTAAAATAATTATTTAGATGTTTGAATTTTGATCGAGTTGTTTTTGTGTAATTGATTGATGAAGGAAATTATTTGTATTTTAAAAAAAATAAAATTCTACAGGTATAAAATGTTATGCTAATATGATATAATTCAGACGTTTTTTAAAAATTTGAATTTATAATTTTTTATTATTTAAGTATATATGTCAATCGAAGTAAAATAAATCATCAGTATCAATTTCTCATATTACAAAATACTGAAACAAACTTTGAAACATTGAATCATACCAAATGAACTTGATATAATAATAATATAGTAGATAGTACTTTTAAAAATCAATGATCAAAATTATGGAACTGAAATGGTAAATATCATACAATACCCAACCCTACTGTTACAGTATTAATTTCGACATTCTACGGTATATACCACTATAAATACATGTCTAGAACTCATGATCTTGATCATATAGCCAATGATAAATTAGTTAAACGCATTTTTTTTTATAACGTTAAAGAGTATGAATTATTATTATTATTATTATTATTATTATTATACCACTCCTCTAGCTCTCTTGCTTGCATGGACTCTGGTCCAAGGCTTCAATTTGTTACTAGTAGCACTAATAAGAAATAGAAGCAGAAAGCTTCCTCCAGGACCCTTTCCATTACCCATAATCGGAAATCTTCACTTACTGGGCAATCAACCTTGCGGATTTTCATGGCCCAATTATGCGTCTGAATTTGGGGCAAATAACAACTGTGGTGATTTCTTCTGCAAACATGGCCAAACAAGTGCTCCAAAAGCAAGATTCAGCCTTTTCTAGCAGGTCAATTCCTGATATAGTCAAAGAGGAAAATTTTCACATGTTCTCCGTTGGTTGGCTTCCAGCTTCCCATCCTCAATGGAGAACTCTCCGCAAAATCATGACCTCCCACATCTTCTCCATTAACAAGCTTGATGCCAGCCAGCACCTTAGGTACGTATTGTATTGTGTGACTACGTCATCTAAAAATTTGAACTCTTAAAGAAATCAAACTTTGTTTGATTAATTAAGTTAAACTGTTATAGATTTACTTAATCATGTTTTTTTATAAGGTACAAGAAGATCCAAGAACTTGTTGGTTACTGTGAAAGGAGTAGCCAAATGGGGGAGGCGGTAGATATTGGTGCAGCAATTTTCAGGACCATGTTGAACTTACTTTCCAACACTCTCTTCTCAAAGGACTTGGCAGATCCGTATGAAAATTCTGGTAAAGAATTTAAGGAATTGATGGAGGGAATGATGATGGACAGGGTAAACCAAAATTGGTAGACTACTTTCCCGTCCTGAAAATAGTACATCCGCAAGGTCTAAGGCGATATAATTCTTGTTTGGGGAAACTACTAAAGTTATTTTATGGATTCATAAATGAGAGGCTGGAGATAAGGAAATCCCCAAATTATCAAAACACCGATGTTTTAGATGCCTTAATCACAACAAGTGAACAGAATCCCCAAGAAATTGATCACATGCATATAGCAACAATGTGTTTGGTGAGCTATCTTTAATTCTCTTTCTATTTTATTTTTTTATTGATTGTGGGGTTTGCAATAAACCCTCGTGAGTCCTGACCCACAAAAGTAAAAGTTCATGCTAACCAACTAAGTTACTAGCTAAATGAAGATCTGTTGTAGAAAGGACATAAAATTAAAAACAAGTTTGTAGAGGGCTACACAACTAAATTTTACCACCTATGTTTCCTGTTGAAAAATACTGAAATCAATTGACCTCATTAATATGCCTGCATTGGTGAATTATCTGTATGTGGTTTACATGATTAATTTCATGAGTAATTTTCACCTCAAAATTGTCCGTGTATCTCAGGACCTATCTGATGCCGGAACTGACTCAAGTTCCGGCGTAGTGGAATGGGCTATGACTGAGCTTCTTAAAGCTCCAGAGATTATGAAGAGAGTCCAAGCCGAGCTAGTACAAGTTCTCGGAGAAGGCAACGCGATGGAGGAAGCTGATGTTGCCCGACTCCCTTACTTGCAGTGCATTATCAAAGAAACTTACAGGATGCACCCTCCAGCTCCTTTTTTGGTACCTCGAAAAGTAGAGCAAGATGTTGAGGTGTGTGGCTACACTGTCCCTAAAGATTCAAAAGTGTTGATTAATGTGTGGGCAATTGGCTGAGACTCAACTTTTTGGGAAGACCCTTTGGTGTTTAATCCTGATAGATTTAAGGATTCAAAATTGGATGTGCGAGGTCAAGATTTTGAGTTAATTCCATTTGGCGCTGGTAGAAGAATTTGTCCTGGTATGCCATTGGCAATAAGGATGATCCCAGTAATGCTTGGCACACTGTTGAATACATTTAAATGGAAAATTGAGGCTGACATTGAACCAAAAGACTTGGACATGCAGGAGAAATTTGGCCTCACCTTAACCAAACTTCGTCCTCTCAGAGCTGTCCCACTTCCACTATGAAATCCAAAATCAGATGGCTTCCTACAAAAGGCAATGGATGATGAAAACATTGTAACTAATATTTCATTTCCAATAAATAAATAATTTAGTATATGTACATTTTGTAGGGAAGGAAATTATAGTTACTTCCTAAGAAAGAGATGGGGAAGAAAATGAGGTGAATCGTACTCCACATATTAAATGTCAAACCCCAGCTCCATTTATTAGATGGCCAATAATAAATGTTACTCATTTGATAGGTCACCCTAAATATATTAGTACAACATGTTTAAAAAAATATATTGAAATATCAAATGAGGTAAATAGTTGTATCATATAATAGTAAATATATAAAATAATATTAGTAAAATTAATTATTTAGATGTTTGAATTATGATTCATGATAAGAAGGGAATCGTTTGTATTATTTATTTATATTGAATATTTTTATACGTGTAAAATGTTACTTTAGTGTAATTTAATTGAGAAGTTTTTTGAAAAATCAAAATTATATTTCTATATAACATTGAACCATAGATATGAATTTAATATGATAATGATAATATTTTTAAATTTGATAATTGAAATTATCGAACTAAAATGGTAGATATAGTAGCATATCATCCCTATTACTAGTAACGCCCGACTTCCCCTTAAATTTAATAGTCAGCGACTTAGCGTGTTAGACATTTCGCCGATTGAGTGGTCAAAAACTGTTATTCGTTAGATAAGCTTGTACTCTTCCACAGTATATACCACTATAAATTTATGTCTAAAACTCATGTTCTTTTTTATGTTAATTAGTAGTAATAACTAGGGATTATTATTATTATTATTATTATTACTATTTTACCACTCCTCTAGCTCTCTTGCTTGCATGGACTCTGGTCCAAGGCTTCAATTTGTTACTAGTAGCACTAATAAGAAATAGAAGCAGAAAGCTTCCTCCAGGACCCTTTCCATTACCCATAATCGGAAATCTTCACTTACTGGGCAATCAACCTTGCGGATTTTCATGGCCCAATTATGCGTCTGAAGTTGGGGCAAATAACAACAGTGGTCATTTCTTCTTCAGACATGGCCAAACAAGTGCTCCAAAAGCAAGACTTAGCCTTCTCTAGCAGGTCAAGGTCAATTCCTGATATAGTCCAAGAGGACAATTTTCACATGTTCTCCTTTGGTTGGCTTCCTGCTTCCCATCCTCAATGGAGATCTCTCCGCAATTCCCACATCTTCTCCATTAACAAGCTTGATGCCACCCAGCACCTTAGGTATATATCCTATGTTCATCTAAAAATTTAATTTCAAATTACATGTCCTGATTTTAACTAATAATATTTCATATAGCATATCAAAAAGTAATTAAGTTAAACTTTTAGAGAAAACACATGAGTTTTACTTATTTACTGAATGATGTTTTCTGTAAGGTACAAGAAGATTGAAGAACTTATTGTTTCCTGTGAAAGGAGTAGCCAAATGGGGGAGGCGGTAGATATTGGTGCAGCAATTTTCAGGACCATGTTGAATTTATTTTCGAACACTCTTCTCAAGAGATTTGGCGGATCCCTTTGAAAATTTCGGCAACGAATTTGAAAAATTGGTGGAGGGAATGATGTTGGACATGGGTAAACCAAGCTTGGTGATTACTTTCCCGTCCTCAAAATAGTAGATCCCGTTATGTTTAAGGCGATATAATTCTCCTTTCGGGAAACTACTAAAGATATTTTATGGATGGATAAATGAGAGGCTGGAGCTAAGGAAATCCCAAAACTATCAAAATACTGATGTTTTAGATGCCTTTATCACAACAAGTGAACATACTCCCCAAGAGATTAATCACAACCATATAGCATCATTTTGTTTGGTGAGCTATCTTTAATTATCCTTTCATTTTTTATTCTTTATTGATTGGAAAGTACCAACTAAGCTACTAGATTGCCCTGTTTTTTTTTTATTCTCTTAACATAGAGTATATAACAGTTAACAAAATATGAGAAAATGATCTCTTTTGACCATTTACAAATTGAATAGAAAGGAAAGACCTTTATCGATATGTCTCTTATAGAAAAGACATAAAACTAAAAACAAGAGCTACAAAACCAAAACTCCCTACCTATGTTTCCTGTGAAAATACTGAATTCAATTCACCTCGGTGAATTATCCGCACGTGGTTCGCATGATTAATTTCTTGAGTAATTTTCACCTCAAAGTTTTCAGTGTATCTCAGGACCTTTTTAATGCCGGAACTGATACAAGTTCGAACGTAGTGGAATGGGCTATGACTGAGCTTCTTAGAGCTCCAGAGATTATGAAGAAAGACCAAGCCGAGCTAGTACAAGTCCTCGGAGAAGGTAAACCAATGGAGGAAGCTGACATTGCCCGACTCCCTTACTTGCAGTGCATTATTAAAGAAACTTTCAGGATGCACCCTCCAGCTCCTCTTTTGGTTCCTCGAAAAGTGTTGATTAATGTGTGGGCAATTGGCCGGGACTCAACTCTATGGGAAGACCCTTTGGTGTTTAATCCTGATAGATTTCAGGATTCAAAATTGGATGTGCGAGGTCAAGATTTTGAGTTAATTCCATTTGGTGCTGGTAGAAGAATTTGTCCTGGTCTGCCATTGGCAATAAGGATGATCCCAATAATGTTTGGCACACTGTTGAATACATTTAAATGGAAAACTGAGGGTGACATTGCACCAAAAGACTTGGACATGGAGGAGAAATTTGGCCTCACCTTGGCCAAACTTCGTCCTCTCAGAGCTGTCCCACTTCCCCTCTGAAATCTTAAATTAGATGGCTTCCTAGAAAAGGCAATGGATGATGAAAACATTGTAACAAATATTTGAGATGTAATTCTTATCCTTTCATGATTACCTTGAGTTAATATCTTAGATGACCACTCAACTATTACCTCATGTCATACTATCTACTAGTATTTCCTTTGCAAACATAGTGTGTATGCTTGCGCTGCTTTTTATCTTCATTAAAATATGAAATAATCTTGAACGGATGATTCAATGTGAAATCAGTAAGTTACTAGACTAGCTAACTTTTGATGGAGCATGTTCAAGTGCCTATATGGATTTGAAGAGGTACTCGTGTCTGTGATCTCTTAAAGTGAACACAATTACAAATCCATTTAATCATATTGTTCTAGCAGGATGAACGAAGTAGAGATACTGGGCTTAATAAATGCTTTCGACAGATGCAATCTTTGTTTCACTGGTACAAGTTCAGGAGCAGACCCAGAGCATATTAGCAAGGCTCTTCCATAGAAGTTAGAGTAGTCCATGGCTGCTGAAAATGTCCATGTCCATTTTGCATTTCGTACACGGCATTTATAATAGAAAAATCAAACAATATAAAAATTAAGGAAACTAGAAATACTAGAAGGGAAGAAGAGAGAGTATTTCGCAATGTTAACAAAATGTGATTAAAGTTTGATCATGTTGATTTCATTACTCCATAGCTGATCTAGGGACCACGTTCATATAGCGAAATGGCATGTAACACGAGAAAGGAGCAAAACTGTAGTTTTGACGAGTATGATATGTACATATGATTTTCATTTCGTTCAGCTGAGCTAGTCATCTGCCAGAAGCCTCCCCCATTTACAACTAACATTCACCATTTTCAGACATCAGATGACAACAATTGTACCTTACCCCAATCATGAAGTTAAACAGAATCAGATCCCTTTAGAAACTGCAAGTCACCCGAGCATGGTCGATTGCCATGCGGGAGCATTCTCTTGAGCAGTTCCATCCCAAAAGCAGAATCTGATAAACTAAAAGAAAGCAATACATAACTTAGCTAGATCAATACAATCTTTAAATTTCTATAAAAAGAAAGATTTGCATAAAAAAATCTCCTTCAATTGAATTCGATTTTCCACTAGTTTGTCACCAGCACACAAACTGATATTTGCATTTATTTTCCTCGATATGGTTGGGCAAAGGGGGAACTGATATTGAACATATAAATCCTTTTGTCCCTGTGAAATACTATTATAATTAAGGGATTGCTAGATTTTCAGAGAAAAGATCAAGGACATTCAAAATAAGCTAATAACCTTCCTCAATGCCTAGAATAGAGTAACAAGAAGATATCATAAATATCATGGCAGCAAAAGGCAAATTATATCTTCTCATTTCTGGAAAAAATATTCATGCTAGTAACATCCATGTCATTCATAATTCCTAATGATGCTAATAAGAAAGAAACAGACGTAAGAAAACAGAAGCGACACAGCAGTGATCTGAACAAGTGACAGCTTATTTTTTGAAATTGATAAGACACAGCTTATGCATAGCCTGCATAATAGCTTGCACAGTCAAACTTGCAAAACCATTTTTACTGACCCGAATAACTACCCAAAGTTTATAACATGTGGATAACTTAGCCAAAGAGGGGAAATTACCTTGAGATGGTGATCTCAAAGGGAAATGAGGCACCCTCAAGATTTTCTATCGACGGAATATGGTCCTTTTTCTCTTTAACAAAGTTGATTATCTGAAACAGAACTTCACGAAGAGACAATTCCAGTCCTGAGTGCCGAGCCTCCCTCTCGTCAGGTGCACTCTCTGTGATAATTGATAGACAAAAATGGAAATTCCTCTCTTCAGAAATGTAAAAACTGGAGAATTTGTACCAGTAGAACCAAAGAAATAAAGACAAGTTAGTACCTTCTGGGTTAACAACTTTGGAGTTGCGAGACTTGCCAGAATCTAGTTTTGGATGATGAGCCACATTCAAATTTACATACCAGTGTTCCCAGTAGCGATGTTCAACTTTCTTTGTGAACCATGAGGTCTGTTTGTTTTTGGATTCATAGAAGGACACGCAGATCTGCATCATTTTAACATTTCAATAACAAGTTTTGTTAGCCACTACCAAATCCAGCAACAATTAAGTTGCAAAATAGTCTCTTAGTAAGAAGGTCAGAGATCATTTCCTAAGTAATATACAGCCTGTTTTGGAAGTAAAGAGTACGAAATAAAAGACTACAAGATATCATGAGAAAAATTTCATGAGGAATGTGCACATGTAAAGAAAAATAGAGATTACTAGTTAAATTAAAAGGGTGAAAAGGAACAAAATAACAAGGAATATAGAGCAAGTATTCTACTTGGCCAAATAGAGAAGCTCGGATCACGAACCTGGTGTTTCTGGTTGGGGTGCTTCTTCACCTTATTGATGAATTGGGTAATCTTCTCATCAATTTTCCTCTCAATTACAACATCATTACACTGCATCTGCTTAATTTAACATAAAAACATGAAGAAACTAAAAGTTGCCATCAGGAAATATTGGAAACATCTTGGAATAGCCTCACCAGAAAAACCAAACCCTCCTTCCACCAAGGGAAAGGAACGGAGACTCAAAATCAGAAAAAAAATCACTTATTACATTGATCGCACCTTAGATTGACATAATTTAAGGGCCGCCCAAGTTCTGGATATACACCAACTTCTTGTCTTGGTTTAATAAGTTATAATTGACAGCCAGTGTTAGTTTAACTTCATTTTAAGTTTGTATCATCTTAAATCTCATCCAGTCTTTTTAACTCTTTTTTTAGAAACTTACTTACATACAGTTTCAATTAATTATGGTCCTCACACAGTTCACAAAATCTTAAGTTGCTTTGGCACTCCATTCAAATGAAAATTTTAAGGGGGCAAAATTACAGAAGCTTTCAGACAAAAAATTTCAGAAAATTATAAATAGGAAAGAAGACAGAAATAAAAATGCAGATATTTGTTGAATTTGTATATAGATAGCACACCCTTTCATTATGATGAACTAACTATGCTGGGTTAGTCCTATGTCCTAATCAAGCATCACTAGATTTCACTTCTTGTAAACAGACATTTGATTCTACAATAAGATTATAAGGACTAGGAAATCTCAGGGGAAGAGAAAAATAAACATTTTATTGAAAACACAATTGATTTTTTATTTTTTTTGCATGACTCAAGTATCAGTATCATAATGCAACATTATATAAATAACCTAGTGTAAGAATCAATAAAGACTCTTTGGGAATAACACATGTTCCAGATTCTTTGTTACTACAAACAATTGATTCATACACCGCTAATGGGGAAGAAGAGGGGGAGGGCAGGGAGGGGGGAGTCAAAATACCAACCTAATACTAATAAAGAAAGAGATAAATAGATTATCAACCTAGTACTTTGACAGTTCAGAAATTACTTACATATGTTATCTCAAAGAGTTCCAAATCCACATTCTTTGGATATATCAGACCTGATGCTCTATGAAACATGATTGTATGAAGAATGCCTGCAGCCATTTTCACCTTTCTATTTTTTAGGATAAAGCTACACAAGGTGTCCTATGATAGCAATATTATTAGAAAACCAATCAGAAACTGAAATCCACCCACCCCACATTCCCAAATTTGGTCGACAACGTTACTTTGTAGAATGATAAACTATCTCCATCGTAACCTAAATTTACACATCAAATTAAGGAAAATCCTTATGCATTTTAGTCTGGAATTTGTACTGTTAAAGATCTTAACTAAGGCATCTTGTGGTATATGATTAACATGTATCCATTTTAGCCTTAAGAATACTTTTAAAGAACTCATAGTTTCCACTAGGGCAGACCAGGAAACAAAAATATGGGAGTTCAAAATGTTTATGATTGCCTTCAGATTATAGATTTTTTATGGCCATCTCTAGTGAATTAATTTTTTTTGGGTACGTCTCAAGGGAATTAATGCAGCTATATGTTAAATGCTCTCGAGTTATAGTAATGTAACATTTTCCTCATTTAGTCAAAATAAGTATATCTAATCACTTCCCTTTAGAGTTTTAATTATCAAGAGAAGTAGCTTTCTCTTGTCCAGGCTCACTTTCACAGACACAATGGAAACAATCGATTCAAGATTTTTAATTCATGACTATACAGAAAAACTAAATAATGCAAGATAAATCTAAGGAGATAACAGAGATGGACTTCTTCATCAAACACGCCATGACCAGACCTTATATCGAAATTTAAGCATACTAGTTCCCTAAATACACAGATATTCACTCGAAGACACCATAAATTGCTAAAATTACGGATAAATTGATGTAAAACAAGAAATTACAAATTTAAATAGCTGACTTACATTGGAGAACAACTTGTATCTCAAATTGCTCCACATCCTTCAACAGAAACATAAAATAACATTGAAGCTCAAATTCTCGCTACATAAACAATCTCAGAGGGGAGCAGAGAGATGCTTACAAGTTCTTTCAGCTTGAAAACTTCACAGTTCATGATTCCACTCGTAGTATTTGTTGAGATGATCCAGAATTTGAAGACGAATGATTTCGCAATGCCGAATTTGATTAACCCTAGTGCATGTGGTTCTTGTTTGGCAGCTCCAAGTCAGTTTCATTCTGTTATATAATCCACTACTGGCGGTTTTTATCGATTAACTGAAAATTTTTACTCAAGCCCCTTGGTGGTTAGACCTTAGTAGTGGCAACGCCCTTTTGTGAATTTTTTTTTGTGTAACTTACAAAAATAGCTATAGTTTTAGGGTTATTAGATTGAAATAGCTATAAGTATCATATTTTAAAAAAATAGCTACGCTTTGTGTTACAAAATGGCTATATCCATATATATGTCGTTTTTTCTTTTAATACAAAAATACATTCTAATTAATTTCTCACTAAATAAGGTAAATTAGTTAATGTAACTCACAAAGATTTTTTCCGGCCCTTAAACCCACAAATTTGGCACTTTAAATATGTAATTGACCACTACCTTTTAGGATTCTTATCAGTTCAAAAATAAAAATTATGTTTGCTCTTTCTTCTTCAATTGACGCCTAAGAAAAATACAATTCAATGGCTACCATCATAGTTTTGATCTGGCATTCCGAAAAATGAAGCGAAGAGAATTGCTATGTAGAATATAGCATTGACGGGATAGTGTTAAAGGAATATGCTTCGTATTCTGATTTATGGCGGTATGTATATTAATGAAAGGTTATTTTTTTGTGAGAGAAATAATATTTCTGGAATTCAGTTGATTATGTATTCATTTATTTAAGTATTTAATGTATGTATACTTTCGTATTGATTCTAGGTTGTCCCGTCAACTGATTACATTTATTCAGTAAGTGATGAAGGGAAGACTTATATCGTATGCTTGGAAAAGAAGACTTGCAGTTGCAACAGGTTTCAAGTTGACGAAATATCGTGCGCACATGCGTGGAGGGTGTTGAAAAAAAAACATTCTTCCAGATGAATATTGTTCAGACTTTTACAAGCCAAAAACAATATTGAAAACATATGAAGTGCATGTGTATCCTCTCCCTGACAAAAGTGAATGGAATATACATGAACACATTGCTACTGAAGTTGTGTTGCCACCAAAATACAAGCGACCTCCGCGAAGGCCAAAAGCAACTGGAGAAGTCATTTAGCGAGTTGAGTAAAAGGAAGGGTACGAATTCTTGTAGTACATGTGGACAACGTGGTCATAATAGGCAGTTCATGTCGAACTGCAACATGGAATGCATAGGACCTGATACATCCCACTATTGAAGTGTTCTTTTACTTAATTATCGTTATGTCGAATAAATGAATAAAAATTTTCTTATTTGCCTTTTGAAATATCAGTTTCTTTGTTTGCTTGCTTAAATTATAAATTAACTTGAATATTATCTCAATACTCAATTTGATACTATTAATATGTATTGACACACCCAAACTACTGATAATACGTGAATATAGTTATACTTGATAATATGTTGGTGAATACATATATAAAACAGTTATACTAGTGAAAAATTTGATTAATATAACACACAACCTATAAAAATACAAAAGGACAATGTCTATACGCTTACATATTACTTACTTTAAAAACATATAATAATGTAATTACTACCAATATTTATTGTATGTTTATCACTTTTAAGAATGTAAGTATCCAAATTTCTTTAAGCAATAACTGACGATAAATGAATATAGTAATACATGTGTATATTTTGATATGAAAAAGATTCTAGCATACATTTATACTATTGAATATGTTGATAAAAAAAACACACAGCTGAACAAATTGATTACCAAAAGTAGATATCCAAGTGTATATGTTTTCAGATGAATTATGCAGTTATACAAACATACATCCATCTCTTCATACCATTACATTGAATGCAATAACCCCAACAAAAAATTTAACAAAGTAGCTACCAAAACAGTAAAGCAACATGATCATATATAAATATAAATAGAAGAGTTGATAATGTTTGACAAAAAACAAAAATATTAGTTTTAACCATAAGCATTAAATAGAAGTTCAAAATGATAAATATGATAAGAAACTAATCGATCCTAACAAGTTGACTATTATTGATTCTTGTGGGTGGATCATTCTGGGTGGTGCCTCATTCTCGCTAACAACACCTTCTTCCATCTTCTTTGTTGTTTGACATTTTCTGTAGTTTTTTCTTATTTTTATTAGTATGGTAGATGCCCAACCAACAAAAGTGTGTTAATTTTTAACACATGGACAAGTGGGCTATTTATGTACTGTACTTTTTTACTTTAAAGGAAGAACTTTCTACGACTAACATTTACACATAAATAAATTGAGTTGAACAAATATAAAAAATGTAAGAAATATTGTGTGTGCGCTACTTTTTTTTAATCATTATTAATATTATATTAATTTGTGGATTATACCGGATATATTATTGTTGTTGTAGTTGTATGTTAGTTTGACAATTTACTTTGATATGATATTTTTTTGTGTATTCATGTTGTGTGTGTTTTTTTTTTTTTAAATCTTTCATAATTATTGTGATTTTAAGATGTAGTCATTTTATTTTAATTGTTATGATATGAAATGTCCATTGTTACCTTATTTTTAAATTAGAACTTTTGAAGGAAAGTAAAAAAAATAAAATTATATTATTATTGTGGGATGATTGCTTAAAACAAATATCACTACTCAAAGAAATAGTTTTTAAAAAGTAAACTTTAAACCTAAACTAAAATAACAAAAAGTAAAATAATATTTATAATTAATATATATCTTATCAGATATAATAGAATAATTATAAAATATAATAAAAAATAACTGTAGGGTCTACATTTTATACTTGTTGAATGCTCATTTAATCAAATAGCTTTTTTGAATTTTCTTTGTAACGTTGTTTCTTAAATCAAATCATGGTCTTGTTAATTTTATTAAAAATCAAAATTACATATTTTGATATTCAAACTAAATGTGTATTTTTTTAATAAAAAATTAACGTTTTCGTTGATGTTTGAAAAAAAGTTGACATCATCGTTGATGTTGAAAAGAAATAAAAAATTAGTTTTTCAGATTTTGATTCTCTTTTTTGATCTAGCCAACTTTAATTAAAATAAATTATTATTTCACAAATTTAACAATAATCATATAATATTTTTTTAAAATTAAAATAAACAAAATGTACTCGAGAGAATATTTTAAATACTATTTTATGAAAAAAATTAATGATCAAATTGTAATGATGATAAATCGTACATTCTACATCAACTGAAATTTTACACAAATTAAACTAAAAAAATGTTATTAGCATAACGATACTTTTTAAAAACTATTTCTTTGAGTAGTGATACTTTGTTTTAAGCAATTATCCCCACAATAATAATATAATTAACATTTTTTTACTTTCCTTCAAAAGTTCTAATTTAAAAATAAGGTAACAATCGACATTTCAGATCGTAACAAGTAAAACAAAATGACTACATTTTAAAATCACAATAATTATGAAAGAAACTTTTTTTTAAAAAAAAAAAACACAACATGAATACACAAATAAAATAACATATCAAAATAAATTTGTCAAACTAACATACAACTACAACAACAATAATATATCCAGTATAATCCCATATATTAATAATGATTAAAAAAAAGTAGCAAACACACATAATTTTTCTTGCATTTTTTATATTTGTTAAACTCAATTTATGTGTAAATATATTCTCTCTCTCTTGTTAGTTATAGAAAGTTCTTGCTTTAAAGTAGAAAAGTACATAAATGACCCACTTGTCCATGTGTCAAAAAACAAATGAAGCCTCACACACTTTTTATTGATTATGCCTCTAGCCCTCTAGTAAAGTTCTAAAACTATCATTAAAATAAATGAATTTTTTAAATTGAAGAATATACCTTGTGGATTTTTTTCCAAATAAGTGAAATCCAACATATTTAAAATAATATTCTGTTATTAAATCTTCAAAATATATGTTTTGTTAGCTAAGTAAGTTAAAAAGAGGGTGCCTCATTTAAATTGATATGGAGGGAATAATTGCTTATTTTAAAAGGATTACTTTATTTTAAAATAGTTTAACTTACCCACCGTTAATATATGTATTTTATTTAATATTTTAATCTATATAAAATAATAATATATAGTAATATATTTCCTTATTTTTTTATTTTATATATGAAGCCACACTTTAATTGTTTCACCTGTTTGCCTCATCGTTTAGCCCGCCTGTCATGCAAATAGCCCCTGTTATATTATCTGCACTCTCCAAAGACTTCAAAATCGATGATGGTGATCTCCATTTGCTTCTCTTTTAATCCTTCCTTTTAATTATCGGTTTGATTTGATTTTTTATTTAAAAATGACACAAAATAATGCATTTTTAACAAAAATCATTACTATCTCTCATCCTCGTAAAAAATTATGGCCACGCACCCTTTATTATTTTGCTTAGCTCGGTATCATAGTCAAAAGAAGTCAAGAATGTAGAGTAGCCATTGTTTAGACTTTAGTATATGGTGTCAAAGGATTAAGGATTGATATGAGAAATGCACATATATATATATATATATATATATTAAAGAATATATAAATACTCCCTCCATTCCATATTAATTGAATTGTTGATACATTTTTCATTTTTCAAATTAACTTAATTGTTCAGTTTTCAAGACTACATTTAGAGTGTTCTTCCAATTTTACCCTTTATTAGTTAGTATTGGAATTAGTGATTAATTAATATTTAGTTATTTTAATCATAAATTTGATAATAATTAATAAGGGTAAAAATGAAAACTATGTTCACTTTATGTATTAATCTATTTTTCTTAAAGGGTGTAAAATATCTCAAAAATTTAATTAATATGGAACGGAGAGAATATGTTATAGCAGTGAGAAACTGTAAAAAAAGAAACGCCCAATTAATGTGCAATGCACAACTATTAATTTGACATAGGGAAGAGCATTTCGACTTGTTACGTATCATAAGCCTTCAAAATCAAGCAATTAAAATATACTCCCTCTGTCTCTAATAACTTGTCGACATTTCCTTTTTAATTGTCCCTAATTATTTGTTGATTTTAATAAATTAAGAAAGGACATTTTTTTTTACCTATTATACCCTCAATTAATTACTTTGAAAAAGGTAGAAGTTCTTGAAAATCTTAAGTTTTTAATTCATCAACTTCATAATTTATAGGAATAAAATTGTAAACTCATT